ATATATATATATGTGTTGCCCAATTTATTTTATCTTACGTTTAACCGAGCCTTTTATAGCTAAATGGAACCTCAGAGAATAACCGACACCCGCGACACCGGTCCTTCTTTTTATTGTGATAGTCTAGCTTTTGTTTATGCCCTTCAAGCTCTTGAATTTCGGCCCATTTTAAGAGAAAACTTTCGGCTCAAATCGTATAATATCTTGGATTTTGTGAGATTTTCGCTCAAATAATTATCTTACCCGTAGAACCCTATTTATCACCTCTCTTCGCGCAGCTTCTCCTCTCGTTCAATGTCGTGTAGAGGAAAGAAGAGAGAAATCTCTCCCTCGCCTTCGTCACCTCTCTCATATCTCTCCATCCATCCCGACTCGAGCCTACCAGAAAGAAGAAAATACCTTCTACTCGCATGACATCGTCATCCCCGCTTACGTTGGATGCGTTAACCAATCACCTCCGGCCATCACCATCGCGTCGCTCTCGGCAGTTGCACACCACCGAGTTCAGCGTCACCATCGCAGCCCGACAACACGAAGGTTCTGTACCCAGATTCCGGCGATCCTCCAAAGCTGCGCGCGCCTCCTTTCAGCAGCCCTTCAATCCTGTGTGAGAAGAACAGTGGCACCTCGTGGCCGATGCTGTTTCGAGGCCCTATGTTCACGTGATCCCTACTCCGGTTCCATTCATACACCACCCTAAGACCACCAGCTTGTTTTTCTTCCTGCTCGCTGCTCCCGGTGTCCTACTCCCATACATTTCTTGTCGATCGTGAGCTCTGGTGGGTTCGGTCCATCATCGGCATCTCGTACTTCGTTTGGATACCTGCTGTCCGTGGGACACCATCGCTGCCAGGTCCCGTAAATCACCGTACACGCGCCACCGTTCCTGCGCTTCTGCCCGCCGTTGGTCGTCGAAATTGTCGTTCCCGTTGCCGCTTTCCGCGAGCTCCGTCGCCGCCAGCGCCCGTGGCCGTGTTCTTACCGTTCGTGTGACCACGTATTTTCCCGGGCCCTTCCGTCAACCCTCGTTCGTCCCGTTTCTTCGAGTTTTTTTCCGAGAACGATACCTATTCGAATCTCGTGTCGTTATATTGTATATATGGGTTGCATTACGTGTTTATAATATGTGTTTTAGCATGTTCAATGAATTATTTTAAATGCCCTATGATTTTATGTGTACGTTGGAATTTATATGATTATCGTACGTAATGGGTCCTTTCGATTTTGTGCGAATCGAACGAGCACTCGTTAAACTCATGTCAGTTTGTTGTGGATATTGGAATCAGATCGAGTCCTAGGCTTTAAGAGAAGGCCTCAGACGAGAATTATATGTTTCGAGTCAAATGTGTATTTATCGAATTCGTATGTTCGCTGTTTTGGTGTTTGAATTTTTAAAAATTGAATACTGATCCAATTGCTTTGAAATTTTAACTGTATTTACCTCTGTTGATATTATAGCTTGTGTAAAAGTTTCATAATTGTTGACGGCATGTAGCTATTTTTACAAATTAAAGTGATTTCTGGATAGAAACGTGTTTAATTCATAATAAATTGGTCCGTGCTCCACAATTAATGAAATTTTAGTATGTTGGCTTTCTGTTCGATTTATGCCTTGTGTAAAATGTGTTGAATTTTTGGACTGATATTGATAGGGTAAATATTATATTTAAGTTTTCTACTGATATATATTTTAGTTATGATAAAATGATTAATGGCTAGAAAATTTTGATTTTTGGCTGAGATGCTTATTTTATTTGTACTGACATGCAGTAAAAATATTGGAAATTTTGGAGTTGGGATTGGTTCATATTTAATTAAAATTTGATAAACTGCTGAATCGTGTATGAATTTTCATAATTTGTGTATTTGATGTTAATTTTCATAATTTGTGTATGTGATAATTCATTCTTTAGGTCAGGATTTGGATTTTATGCTCGTTTTTGTTGATATCGTATTTGAATTTTATAAAATTGTGTTTAATGAGTTTGGGGCTGAAACTTGGTGATTTTACTAAGTTTAAAGAGGAAAGTTTTATGTTAAAGTTTCAGAACCTAACTCATTCAACATCTTGATCAACCTAATTATGTGATATTTACCTGAACTCCTTTGTTTTGGTTGTTCGAGTCAAAGTCCTAGACTTCCAACATCCACAGGACTTCACGAACAAATTATTTGAATCAAGTTCGACCAAGTACGACTTGTGAATTTCTTTTAAGGTCAAGATAGATATGGATCTTAGTACCTTGATTACTGTAGGTGTTTGAGGAGTCATGTCTCAACCTACGTCTCCTCTATTTTGTTGTTATCAATCCGGAATCCATGTGGGTTTACGTATTAAAAACTTGTTATGCCGTATATGCGTTGTATTTATGTCGGGTTGGTATGATCTAAGTATGCTTGTAAACCATGTAGCCTATCGGCGTGAGCCGATTCCGCCGTGGGTACAGTTGTCCCACTCGATGTAATACGGTTACCCTTGCGAGGTAAGTCTCACTAAGACCTAATGAAAGGCCGTGTCCATAGCGTGGCACGTAAGCCCACGAGTTAGCGTAATGAATACCCTTTCTGTGGCTAATGAAAGGTGTGTGCACATGGGTAGTATATTATGTTGTGTTGTGAAATGGAGATGTAACAGAATAATTTATTTATATTCATACCGCGACCATACTTTCTTGACATGTTATTATATATGTGCATAGTAGTGAGCACTACATTTTATTTTGTATCACTCCCACCTGCTCTTCATGGATGCAGGTTAAGCAGTTGGCGGGTGATGAGGCAAGACCAGTGGGTGGTTTTATGAACTGTGCTGAGACTTGTTGAAAATTGTTTTCGAACTTATGTTTTTGGTTTTTGTTGGATTTGAAATACTCATGTTGCTTGGATTTATGAGATTCCAATTATGCATGCTTTATGATTTATCTGAGCAGTATGTTATGTTTTGAGAATCGGTTAATGAAAACCATATGTGAAAATTGGGTTTATGAATTTCCGTGGGTCCAGATAAGACATGGACTAAGTAAATGATTTGATAATGCCCTTGATTTCGAAAATGAATTTGAAAATTGTTATTCTGATATTCAAAAAGACCGGGATTTCTTTAAAATCAAGTGGGGTATTACAGTTTGGTACCAGAGCCAGACTGCGTTTCTGTAGATTGGTCAATATGTGAATAACTTGTTTATGTGATTTAGACCTTGTGTTGCCCACTCGTCTTCATCACGCTGCACTGCTTAAGGTTTCCTTTTTTTTATTTTGTATAAGTATCAATGAAAATACTTATAATGCGAATTGTGACTTTGTACGAGTAGCAATATTTTGCACGAGTAGCAATGAGACTACTTGTGATGTTTTACATGAGTTGCAATGAAACTACTTATGAGGTTTTGCATGAGTAGCAATGAGACTACTTGTGAAGTGATATATATATGTTGTTTTGGGGTTTAGGAAATCTATCCACCATAGGTTTTGTGAACTATAGTGATATAAAGCTAAGTTTGGACTCTAGGGGTTTCTCGTTGTGAGTTTCAATATGTTGTTTTCGAATTAAGTTCTGCTGATAGCAGTTTCCCTTTATATATAATTCTATTCAATGTCTTTGAGTGAGGACCCAGTCAATGAGGACCGGGAATGTATTCGTTTTTCTTCGGACCCTTGTTGGGTTTCGAAAAATATGTGATGAGTTGAGGTTTTATAGACTGTTATTATTAAAGATGTTTATGGCCTCTATCCCACCTCTAGTATCGTATTGTCTCTTATTGTCTTAGTAAGGGGCGAATTCATGCCTTGACATAATTGAGGTTCAAGTGTGAGTTGATTTGTATGCGGTTATCGCAGTTTTTGGCTGATCCTCCTAAATTTTATATGTGTGTATATGAGGTATATTGTAATTATATGTGGCTCGTTAATGCTATGTTCTTGAATATATGTCTTGTGCCGAGATTTAATTAAAAAACTCCATGTTTAAGCCTCGGTTTTTGCTCAGTTTTTCGTAACCAAGAAGCTGTTTCTTGGACAATTGTTCATCATGAATTTTGTAGTGCTTTGAGTTAGGTTTCTATGAGTTTTGGAATTTTGTGAGTTTGAGTTAATTTGAATTTATTATGAATTTTTGAAGTTGTGCATGCATGCAATTTTTGTAATTCCAGGCAGATTTGTGGATCATGATGTTAGGCTGTTTTTGACGATCTTAATGTGGCTATGTAAAAATGTGATCATCATAAAACATGTAGTGCACGTTATAAGCTTTTATTAGGAGTTGAAATCAAGCAATTTTGAGTTTTGTTGATTTTACATGATTTTTTTCAAGTTGGGGTTATGCCCAGAATTTTAAAACAGTGATTGGGATTATGCTCAGAATATATGCTCTGAAATGAGGCCCTTAACGTGATTATTTGTAAAAATGATCCTCTTGGAACCTGTAGAATCTCAACTGTAGTTTCTGTAGGTCTTGAGTTTGTATGAGTTGGAGTTTTATAACATGAGATATTGTTGTTTTAGTGAACTGCTGAAATTTATAAATAGTTTCGTTGGCAGATTTCTTCACCTAAGTGTTTTATGCTTAAACTCGATTTTAAAGTTGTTGTTGGCATGAGCGATCAACATGAAAGTTATAGCTGTGTTTCTTAGCTTTTTAATAAGGTAGTATGCATGTTGATATGAGTGTTGTAGCATAAATTAGAGTCTAAATATTGAGATGTTGTTTGTAACATGAATTGGTTTTTGACAAATTTCAAGAATCGAATATTTTATGTTTAAACTCATTTATAACATCATTGTTTGTCAATATTAGCTTCATAAAAGTTGTAGGGCTGTCTCTTATTTTTCTAATAATGCAAGAAACATGTCAGTATGTCGAGTATAGAATGAGTTATTCCCTTTTTTCTAACTGTGCACCAACATGTTCATATTTCCCAGACTGCAACCAAGTTTTTCATGTTAGTCGATTTTTAACATACTGAATGTCATTATTTGATCTTGAAGTTTTCTTGAAAGTTGTGGATGCATGCCTTAGGTTTAATTTGAGACATGAATCATGATCATGTGACTTATGTGCTGAAAATTGTGTCTATTTTAAGTTCGTAGTGCATACTGGATTTCTATAAAATTTTATTTCGTTCTCAAAATAGATATTACCTCCTAGATTATGCATGTTTATGTGACTTTTGTGATATATATTGGACTTGGTTTGATTGGTGTTATGTGGTTGACTGAAAACACTTACGCGATAAGAATTACGCTAAGATCTCGAAGTGTGGAAATTATAGGTAGTGTATGTGGATTAGACTCGTTTAGGACTGCCGGCACGACTAGCTACCTGAGTAAACATTGTCGTGAGGGCCGACACTGTTAGTCGGAAGAGTCAAGCAAGCTAACTTTTCTATTGTTCGGAGATGACCGCCGAGTTAGGATTGTTTCTGGCAGTGACGCCAATGTTCGATCCATTTGGAGAAAATGTTGTTGTCGAACCCCAAACCTTTTTAATTTTGAGTCTTGTAGAGAAACCATTTCCCTATTTGAGTACCTAGGAATTGTGAAACCCGGAAATTAAAATTTTTGAAATGCACCTCGAACCGAGTGCTGAACCTGACTCGGTGTAGCCCCACGAAGTGGTGGCCTAGCCCGCACGCCCGTGCTGAGAGACGTGAGGCCAACTGCAGTGGTCGATCGTTGACTCGCACGAGAGCTGCCGCCGCCATCACCGAACGCACGATAAAGTGGAGCACACGCAGGCGGCGTTGGGTGCACGGAGGTGCGCGGTAGAAGAGCAGGCCACGGGGATCGACGACACGTGCGAATCAGCAGGCGCAGTAGGGTGCGCCGTAGGTGATTGGGGCGAGGGCGGTAGCCGAGATGCGCGGGTATCACGCGAAGAGCAGACAGAGCGCGCTGGGCCCTGCGAGTGGCGAGGACGCAGGCAACAACCTAGGTCTTGTAGGCCTAGGA